TGTAACGACGTAAATTTAAAAAATTTTTCATTTTTCAAACATAATAAAACTCATATAATAATCTCAAAATCTCATATATCAATGTCATCACCATAAAATATATCCCAGAATCTCAACACTTAATCTTCTGCCAGTGTGTACAAATCATGTCGGCGCCTTCCCGCGACTCTCGCTGGGTATCTGAAACAAATATCACATAACACGGTAGCATAAATGCTTAGTGAGTTCCCCAAAAATACCACATACAACACATAAGCCACTCGAGGGCTATAACTCGGTCTGACCTTCCGGTCAATGTGTCTCAGCGGGACCCTCCAGTCCCGTAGCTCGTTGGACCCTCCAGTCCGGTCTAGCTCGTTGGACCCTCTGGTCCGGTCTATAAAATCGTTTGGACCCTCCGGTCGGTCTAAATTGTTGGACCCTCTGGTCCGATCTATATAACACATAGCATACATATATCACAATGCACATAAACTCAAACATACACAGAACTCATAAGACCCTCCGGTCTGCACATAGATACCACTCTAGGTAATGTATAGTGAGAAGACTCACCTCGGGTAACTCGGATAATCTCGAACTCAACTACTGATCTAGCCCCGCCTCTAATCCATAAAATAATTATCTCTAATTAATACGGCTTCAAAGGCTAGACTAGTCCCTCCCTATATTCTCTCAGAAAGGTAAAAGACCATTTTACCCCCTCCAAGGCCCAAAAGGTCCAAATGTTGACTAAACCCTAAAAGTCAACGAAAGTCAACTGCGGAGAGGTACGTTGCGCGTACCAGATCTGTACGCGGGGCGTACTCCATGACATCCAGAATCGGGGAACGCGACCCCCTACGCGGCGCGTACTGGGATTACGCCCAACGTAAGTCCCAGTTTCCTACTTTCTTCATTTTTGGTCTGAATAGATTAAGACCTAGGCTCATACTCGATCTAAGCTCCCTACTGCCCCTTAAGTCATAAAGTCGGAACCTTTAAGCCCATGCATGGCTGTAAAGGTCAACCAATCACTTCAAACATTATCCTCTTTTCCCATTAAGCCCTAATCTCATGCATGACTTAATCTCAACGTCCAAGATTGGATTTTTATGAACCTACAACACATATTACACTGGAATAGGGCAGATCTAAGCTTATGGAGACCCTTTGCTCATAAAGTCTCCACCTTGGGACCAAAAACCCTAAAAAATGGGTCCATAAAGCACAAATCAAAGATGACAAGGAAAGCTTTGAGCTTTTTACCTCCAGGTGAAGCTCCAACCTCTATAGAACTCTGATCTAAGCTTGCCCTCCAACTTCTAGCTTCCACCATGGCCTCCTCTTCTTCTTCATGTAACAACGTAAATTTTCAAAACAATTTTTCATTTTTAAATCATATTTTCAATCATCAAAAACAATATCAAACAAACTGTATCCAATGTCATCATAACAACAAATCCCAGAATCTCAAAACATAATCTCTATGAGTGTGTACGGATCATGCCGGCGCCTTCCCACGGTCCTCGCTAGTACCTGAAACACATCACACAACAACTGTAAGCATAAATGCTTAGTGAGTTCCCCAAAATACCACATACAACACATACGCCACTCGAGGCTACAGAACGACCCTCCGGTCGATGTGTCTCAGCGGGACCCTCCAGTCCCGTAGCTCGTTGGACCCTCTGGTCCGGTCATAGTTCGTCGGACCCTTCAGTCCAGTCTGTGTCGTTGGACCCTTCGGTCCGGTCTATATCGTTGGGCCCTCCAGCCCGGTCTGTTCAACACATAGCATACATATAACACAATGCACATAATCTCATATATACACATAGCATACAAGACCCTCTGGTCTACACATAAATACCACTCTAGGTAATGTATAGTGAGAAGACTCACCTCGGGTATATCGGATGATCTCACACACGAATATACTGATCTAGCCCCCGCCTAATCACATACACAATATCCTCAAATAAATAATGACTCTCAAAGGCTAGATTAAATCCCCTTCTACAATCCCTCGGAAGGGTAAAAGACCATTTTACCCCCCATTGACCCAAAACTCCAAATGTTGACCAAAACCCTAAAAGTCAACGAAAGTCAATGGTCAAACTTTGACCCGACTCGTCGAGTGCACATGGGTGACTCGGCTAGTCCATGCGGGTCCTCTGAATCCTTCTAGCCTCTCTTGGCTCGTCGAGTCATCCCTCCACTCGACGAGTTACACCTGTCACGAATCGCGGGGCAACCCCCGACTCGACTCGTCGAGTACACTAATGGACTCGGCGACTCCCTTCCATGGCAACACTGAAATGACCTTCTGAGGTCAGATCTGCTCCTCTAACCTATAGATCTGACCTTCCCAAACACGATAATCACGTAAAGGTTAGAACTTTAGGACCATGCATCACACTATCACCTCTATATGCCAAAAAACCCTTAATGTGATAACCTAAGCCCCAAACTCATAAAGGACTGCATAAAGCTGGAGAATATGGACTCTCTGGACCTCTCAAGGTCCAGATCTGAAGATATTGACACAAGGGGACATCACATTCACTGGATCTTTTACCAAAAAGAAGAGAAAAAGCCCTAGATTCATGAAATCTATTACTCAAGGAAAAATGGACATGAATCCTTACCTCTCACAGCAGCTCTGAACGAAATGATGGAAGATTTGAGTCCCACAAGTCAGCCTAGCTCGAAATCTTTCCTTCCCTTTGCTAAAACACACTCAAGAATGATGGATTAGACTTCCTCTTGCACTACAAGCTTCTCTCTGCTCTCTAGGGTTTCTCAGGGGAGTAGTGGCCGCAAATGAAGGCCATAAAGGCCTTTAAATAGGGCACATACCCTGAGATTTAGGGTTTCACTTTACAGCGCGGACTCGCCGAGTCCACTCATCGACTCGTCGAGTCCGGTCATTAATCCAGACAAGAACTCGCGATCCTACTCAGCGAGTCTGAGCGTCTACTCGCCGAGTCCCTCCATAAAACCCAAGATAAATAATTAAAATAAGATACCTGGGAATCCGGATGTTACACTTCACCATCACAAAATGGCACTTTCAAGGTTAAGAACACACACATAAGATTATAACGGGGCTTTGCTCTCTAAGGGTTTCACTCTCTGTAATATGGTGGCTGGGGTAAGGACCATATCATTCCTTTTATAGTCCTCAAGTCTCATTTAGGGTTTTGCATCTGAGCCAGTTACGCCCAGCGTAACTTTGGTACGCCCAACGTACCTAATTGAGTCTGCGTCCATAATAAGCGCATGAGTACGCGCAGCGTACTCTTCAGTACGTCCAGCGTACTTGTTTGCAACACTTTTCACTTAGGGGCTAAACTTGACAGTTTGGTAAAGAAAAAGGGTTAAATAGATGTACTTAAATTTCGGGATGCTACATTATAAGCAATAAGAATGATGTTGTAGTAAAAGATTTGAAGAAAAGAAACGATTGAAAATAAGTGCGAGTCGTGGATTCAAGGATGAATCGTATATGTATGTAATAATTTGAATATGATTTTTTGGTATTAATAATTTCCTAATAAAAATAGATTTTATATTAATGGTTTACAAATATAAACGGATTTATATTAATGGTTGATATTAATGCCTTGATTGAAATGGTTTGTTAGTAATATGCTTTTAAAATTGACCATATTAAAATCTTTATAACCGGAAATTCAAGATTTAAAATATGGAAAACTTTTATTGGAATTAAATACATTCCATTTTAACGAATGTAAGTTATTGTTTGACGATTGGAAAGCATTTATTGGAATTAAATACATTCCATATGGGGAAGATGTTGTCAGCAATTTGATCTAAGGGTGGAAAAAATAAAATTGAAATACAATCAAGGGTCCAGATTATTTAAAATGATGTCATAAGGTTTTTCTTTTAATAATATTTACATATTATCATATTATGCATATTGCATGTTGTTATTGGTTGGCAAACTAAAACATTTTGGTTCATTTGATATATTTGTTAGACAGTGAAATCCTTTTTCACTATGAAATTGAAGTTCGTATTAAATTCAAAGAAGCAATGGGAGGTGAAACAACAAACAAGGAATTGGCTGGATCTTCCTCATGATATAATGGTTAATATTCTATACAAAGTTAGTGTTTATGACATACTTGAGAATGCCCAAAAAGTTTGCACTACTCGGCATAAAATCTGCAAGGACCCTGCCATGTGGAGGGTCATTAATATGAAGAATATTTTTTAATACAACAATAGAAATGGAAGATCCCTGTTGCGGGAGATGTGTAAGCATGCTGTTGATCGAAGCCAAGGCCAATTAGTTGATATCACCATTTGTGATTTTGTTAACGAGGAGCTTCTTGAGTATATTTCTAACAGGTATATATGACTTTATTATTCAATTCATATCTTTTTATGGTTGCATACACACTTGGGAACCACCCGATGATCTTGCTTTTTATTATTTTTGTTCTTTCTTATAGATCAAGTCAGTTTAAACGTCTTGAATTCGTGGGTGGTGACATTTGTGAAAACTAGGTTGCTTCTTTGAAGAAATTTCAATTATTGGAGGAACTTAGTCTCTACCTAACAGACATCTCGCATGGAGCTATTATAACTGCCGGCCGTTGTTGCCCTAGGCTATAACACTGAAAATAAATTATGAACGGGGCAGACGTTTCGTGACCTGGTTGCCAGGGGCGTTGTTCGCGTCTTTCACGTCCCTTCATCCGCTCAGTATGCTGACATATTTACAAAGGGCCTTCCTTCGCAACTCTTCAACGACTTCATGACCAGTTTGAACGTTCAGAATTCTCCTCCCGATCCAACTACGGGGGGATGTTAGCGGATATCTTGTTGTATTCTTAGCCTGTTATATTGTGTATTTGGCCCAAAGGGCTTGTATTGTATTTGGTATATAAACGCTTTCTCAATGAACGATTGTTTACGGGAAAATAACCTTAAGCAAGTTTAGGACTCACGATATAATTTCGGACATATTTCCCTTAATTTTAGTTAGCAAGTAGTTTCATATTTCTATAAATTGTAACCTGCATTTTGATTAAGGATTAAGCAGAAAATTGTTCCAAGTCTTGTTTCTTCTTGTGTGTTCTTGTTAGGAGACCCGCCATCTCGAATCGGCCTCTATCAATGGTGTTTTCATTCTCGTTCATCATGCTTCCCCGTCAAGATCCGTCCATCGATGTCACACCACCAAGTATCCGCGAGCAACTCTCCATACTCATCTCTATTTCCACCGCTAATGTCCACCATCTTTATGCAATTATCACACAAATGGTCACCGTCAACACCCTCATTGGCATTCAAACCAAAACCATGGCCAAAATCATCATGCCTCTACCTCCGCTTCCACCACTGAATCAGCAACCAAGGCCGCAGCCACCGACATCACCACCGTCGTCTCCACCACCGCAATTGACAACAACAACGTTATCCGCACCGCCAATACCGCCGCTACAACAGTCGTTATTGCCACCGCTGCCTCCAAAAGCACTGCAATCGCCCATGTCAACCCAACAATCACTTCTACGTCGCAAATGCCGCCATAATTAACCACGACACCTTCACCACAACAACAATTCCTACCACCAATGATGCCACCCTCGAAAACTACCAACAAGAACTACCAAAAACAGTTCCAAACAAACTTATCGAGCCTTGAGAACCTCGAGAACGAGATCCTTTTTAAGCGGAGACGAACTGATATCTCTGGCCATACCTAAGGCCGCCTCCATGGCCAAATCCTTCCTTTTACGGTTACGACACGATTGCTACCGGAAATCGGCATAAATCAGCCTTGTGGACAAGGCCATTTTTCAGGGGCAAAGTATTAATACAAATACATTCCATGTGCATAAGTCAAACTAGATTGGTCAACTCACGTGCATAAAGACTTGGTCATATTTCAATTGCCACTAAAAGTTTATTGCATTAGTTTAGGACTCACAGTTTAATTCCAGTATTCATATTTCCATTAATTTTAGTTAGCAAGTAGTTTCAATTTTCTATAAATTGGAACCTGCATTTTGATTAAGGATTAAGCAGAAAATTGTTCCAAGTCTTGTTTCTTCTTTGTGTGTTCTTATTAGGAGACTCGTCATCTCGAATTGGCTTCTATCAATATAGTATTCCTTTTTGGTGCAACTTCAACTACCACGGTTTAGAATGACAAATTCAACCGAGAAAATTATGCGTTTGTGTATTAAAAAAAAACTTTTTAGCCAACATGACTCGATAAGTATGATATGGCATCAAAGGAAATTAAGGTTACCTTTGATTTTGGCAGCCATGACAAATGATTTACTACCATTCCAAACTAGCATTGTAGTTTATGAATCTATTTTTCTCTTGATGATAAGGCAAAATTGGGGCAGTCTATGACAAATGAAAGATTCTAACAAAGGTCTTGAATGAACCTGTGGACATATATGTATTTGCATGAAGGACCATTTTGATGGTGACCAATTCATCACAAACATTTTAAGATGGAATTCCCGATCTAGAAGAAGATATAATGATATAAAAAGCATGGTTTTGAAATCCCGAACTAGATCGTTCGTTTCAACAGGTTGAGGTTATAAGTTTTTTGACGCCAAAAAACATTTTGTAAGTAAACCAGTTGGAACTGACTAGCTCACGAAAAAATGGTCCAACAAGTTGGTCCGACCAACTCAAAAATATTTTTTTAAATCTTATCGGTTTTTTACTTTTTAAAGATTGCTAACAATACCGACAATTTGTTCTTTGTGTTTTATTTTGTATTAAGATAATGGAATAAATCAATTGACAAAAATAAGTCAAAGAACTTGTATGGTATTTCACTATTTTGATGTTGTTTTTGTATTTCCTATATTTTATAATTATAAAATTAAGAGTAAATTATAGAAATAGTCCATGTGCTTTGGTTAGATTCACAGTTATGTTCCCTAAGTTTAAAAATTAATATGTTGCATCCCTATGGTTTATGAATATAACAGTTTTGGTCATTGTTTCATATAAAAAGACTAACTTACCATTCCTTTTTTTTCATTTTCTTTTAACATGTCGTCGTCGTCTAACAATTTTATTTGTTATTTATTTTAATAGAACTTGTATAGATTTCTTATAAAATTATTTTTATTTTTTTAAATTAATTATCTAAATTATATATATATATATATATATATATATATATATATATATATATATATATATTATTTTTATTAGTATCATTTATTCTTAGCTTTATTTATTCATCTTTGTTTTTGTGGTTTAAAAAATCTCTTAATATTTTTGACTTCTTATTCGAATATACGATTTAATATTTTTTACGTTTTGTTCGTTCACATTATATAACGTTTTTTTTTTTTTAATGTTTTGCTCGAATAAACAAATTAAAATAAAACCCCATATAACTATCAAACATCAAATATTTTTTTTAATGTGTTTTTCGTTTACATTATTTGTTTATGTGCTTTACTTTTTTATTAAGCTTTAAGATGTTTTATTTTTACTTAATGGGAATTAACAAACGGTAGATTTTATTTAAGATTATATATATATATATATATATATATATATATATATATATATATATATTATATATATATATATATATATATATATATTATGTGCTTTACATTTTTTTTATTCAGACAATATATATTTAGTATATATTAACAAACGGTAGATTTTATTTAAGATTATCCTTTTAACAAATAGTTGTTAAAATATAGTTGTTATGACGGTACGATAGTTGTTTATCCTAATATATAAGATTATCCGTTTAAAAAGTAACAATAAAGTCTCTTAAAGCTAAATTAAAAAAAATAAGTAAAGCATATAAACAAATGATGTAAACGAAAAACACATAAAAAACAACATTAAATAATTATATTTGATGTTTGATAGTTATCCATGCTTTTATTTTTATCTGTTTATTCGAGTAAAACATAAAAAATGTTATATAATGTGAATGAACAAAACGTAAAAAAAATATATTAAATCATATATTCGAATAAGACGTCAAAAATGTTAAAATATTTTTAAACCACAAAAACAAAGATAAATAAAAAAACTAAGAATAAATAATAATATGATATATATATATATATATATATATATATATATATATATATATATATATATATATATATATATATCAGGGTTCAATTGAGAAAAAAAAGGTTGAGAATGGGGGAATCATTCTCAGCCACATTTATTTTGCCGCAAAACACTTAGGCGTACCGTCGGAAATGGATAACGGATAAACATGTGTTTTCCAACCAAACATGTTTCCTTAAACTATGCTAATCATTACCTTAATATACACAAAAACATATTTTTTTTTTCGTTTTTATTTTTATTTTTAGAAAGCCATTATTATCGAAAAATTATTTTAAATATATCAAAATTCATAATTTTTTATTCTCTATAAATAGACATCCATATTGATATACTTTTAAGATAAAATAAAAAATTTATTTTTTTTAGAGTTTCAGCTCTCGTTATTCATAAGTGAATAAAAAAATCTATCAAATTTTTATTACAGTATATTCGTTATTCCCTTATGAATAAAACGTATGCGTAACTTTTTTTATAGTTTAAGTACCGTTCATATATAAATATGACACGCAATAAAGTTTTCTTACTTAAAATATATTTTTTACATCATCTTTCATCATATATTATAAGGGCTAATTACTAATCTAGCCAAATTAAGGGGGGTAATTATCAATTTTTAGCCAAAAATTAGCAAATGGTCAAAAATAGCCCACGAAACCATAGGTTTCGAGATTCGCCTACTGTTTCGCCATTTCGTCTACTGTTTCGCGTTTTGTATAATTTTTTTTTTTCATTTTTGACATTCAAAACCGTGGGTTTTTTAAAACCTACGGTTTCCTCTCGAAACCTACGATTTCCCAAACCGTAGTCTACGGTTTTCGCAAAAAAAGCTACAGTTTTTTTTTTTTTTTTTTTTAAATTTTTTTTGGGGTTTTCGCAAAAACCTACGATTTTTTTTTCCAAACAAAAATCATAAGATACACACAAGGAGATACAAATGTTTATTGGCTATTAATTTTTTTTTAATAAAAAAAAACCGGTTTTTTTGTGAAACCTACAGTGTACAAATGTTTAATGCACAAACTGTGCAGTAAATACTTGTACACCGTAGGTTTCTAAAAAACCTACGGTTTCCCTTTTTTTTTAAAAAAAAATAAAAAATTATACCACAACAAAATACATCCAATTCCTATTCTATTGATACCATTTAAAAAAACGAAAAAAAAACGTCCGTACGGTTTCATATGAAACCTACGGTGTACAAGTCGACACTGCACAAACAGTGCATTGGGCACTTGTACACCGTAGGTTTCATATGAAACCTACGGTTTTATATATATTTTTTTCAATTTTTTTCAAAAAAAAATTATCCCCATAAACATAACCTACTCCTAATCACAAACACGGTAAAATTTTTAAGAAAAGTAGACAAACCTGGTTGTTCTTCGGGTGTTCCATTGAGAGAAAAACGTAGCCAAACAAAAAAAAACAATAGGAAAATGACCTAATCTGAAAAAATTTTCATTATATACTTTGGGCTAATAGGCCACGAAAAAGTAAACGGCCCTTGAAACAGTAGTCAACGGGCGTTGACCGTAGTCATCCTCTGTTGACCGTAGTCAACCAAAAGTTGACTACTCTTTTGTGGGTTATTTTTGGCTAAGTGAGTTTTTTTTGGCTATTTTTTGATAAGTAATTAGGAAAAATGGCTAGTTTTGTATTTTTCCCAATATTATATTTATATATGAATAAAACGTGTATTAGTTGTCGTCATATTTTATATTCATATATGAATAAAACATTTATCAGATTTTTGTTACAGTTAATTTGTTATTCATATATGAATAAGTAGTATAAATGATACTTAAACTGTAAAAAAAATTAATTATATATTTTTATTCATAAGTGAATAACGAATGTACTGTAGCAAAAATCTGATACATTTATATTCACTTATGAATAACGATAGCTGAAAATATAAAAAAAAAAAATTTTTATTTTATCTTAAAAGTATATCAATATGGATGTCTATTTGTAGAGAATAAAAAATCATAAATTTTGGTATATTTAAAATCATTTTTCGATATAAATAGCTTCTTAAAAATTAAAAAAACAAAAAAAAACTATGTTTTTATATATATTAAGGTAATGATTAGCATAATTTAAAGAAACATGTTTTGTTGGAAACACATGTGTATTCCTTATCCATTTCCGCTGGTACAACAAAGGCTTTTGCGGCAAAAATAAATGAGTGGCTGAGAACGATTCCACCATTCTCAACCTTTTTTATTTTGTCAATTGAACTTACCTCTATATATATATATATATATATATATATATAATATATATATATATATATATATATATATATATATATATATATATATAATTAAAAAAAAAATTTATAAGAAAACTATACAAATTCTATTAAATTAAAGAACAAATAAAATTGTTATATATTAATAATAATAATATTGCCCTATTGATCAAATGGTGGTGGAGGTTCATGAACGACAATGACAATTTCTGGAAAGAAGTCGTCATGAGCATACATAACCTATACAACAAACCGGCAATATTTCAAAGGCGGTGAGATCCATTGAAAAGCTACATATCGACTGTATGGATATTTTTGCTCTCACTCCTGGTTCGCAAAGTAACATTTTGTTTTGGAAAGACATTTGGTACAGTAATATTCAATTTCATCTCAAATTTCCTCACCCGTTCGCCCTAGAAACGGTTAAAAACTGTCGATTGGAGGATAGATTTTCTGGTAACGGGTTTTCATGGATGTGGAGACACGAACCAACAGGTGGTATTGAACTGAAGGAACTGCTGGAATTATATTTGGATATTGGTAATATGACCATTGAGAAAAATTCCAAATATGGTTTCAGATTCATTCTCAACCCCACGCGTGAATATATTGTGAAAATAATGAGAAAACTATTGGAATCAAAATTGATTCCGTTCAAAGGGCCGACAATTTGGTGGTCCTAGCTAATCCCTTTGAAAGTACGTGGATTCATATGGAGAGATGTGCTGAGAAGGATTCCAGTGGCAGATACTTTGACAACTAGGGGAATTATCATCCCCAATAATCTTTGTCCTCTGTGTAATAAGGAGACAGAAACGGTGGATCATATACTTGTTACATGTGAGTATTCTAGGGAGGTACAATATTGGATACTTAAATGGTGTAGAATTGAAGAGATTGGGTTAAAAAATATGAGGGAATTCATAGATTATGCGGCTACCTGGGGAAATTGTCCTAGGAAGAAGTTAATACTAAACATGGTGTTTCAATGCCTCATCTGGAATTTATGGCTAACCAGGAATGATAAGATCTTCAAAGGAATTGGTGTGCATCCGGCGAAAATTGCAGACAATATTATCTCTCTCTCGTATGTTTGGTGCAAGCACAGAGGTGGATTTGGTTGTGGGAATTGGATCGAGTGGAGTGTATCGCCTTTCACTCATTTCTCAACTTAATTATGTATTTTTTCCTTGTTTTGTTTTTCTTTCTCTTGCTCTATTTGTTTGTATTGTTGACTTTTGGCTTGTTGTAACTTCTTGCTATTTGTCTCCTTTAATGATATTTGCCTTTTTCTAAAAATAATAATAATAATAATAATTTTTTTGTACGTCGGAGTTAGTGGTTAGCAGTTAGTACACGAAAGTAGTTAATATCACGAAACCGTAAATGCCTGAAATAGAACTCAAGACCTTAATCTAAGAGGCAAAACCTCTATCAAGTAATGTAAAAAAATATAATAATAATAATAATAATAATAATAATAAATTGTTAAAAGAAAATAAAAAAGAAAAAGGAAAGGATAAGTTAGTTTTTTTATATGAAGAAAGGACAAAAATTATAATATTTATAAACCTTAAGTATTCAATCTATTAATTTTTAAACTAAAAACCAAAAATATGAATCTGACCAAAAGACATGTGTCATTTCTGTAATTTACTCTCATTGTCATCTGGTTTTCTGAATCAATCCTGTCATCGTCCAGCTTTCAAAACATTAACCGACCGACTAACCATAGAAACATGATAAAATATAAAAGAAAACCAGATTTTGTTGGCGAATTCTACGGCTACGGCCTACATAATACATAACCTCACTGCGCTCTTAATTCAATTTCCGTCGCCACTAACTGCTCCCGTTGGCCACCACGTGTCCTACAAACAATCGCCGTCGCCGCTCATTGACTCGGTTCAATCGTTGGCGCCTTAAATTTATTTCTCACCGCCTCGCCTGGTGAAAGGTAATTGTGGTTGTATTGTTAATTGTGTTTTTAGACTTTCGTTTTTTCTAATTTATTCCCAAAGTCTTTATATTTCATATGGCCGTGTTAAATGTAAGTTTTTAGACTTTTATTATTAACCTATATATATTGGAATTACTAATTTTTAGCATCTAATTTTTTCGTCATAATTTTATTGGCAGTATGGCAATTACCAATTTACAAATTTAGATATTCAATCTTTGATTTTAATTTATTGATAGTATGTTTAATCTCTCTTGACAGTATTATTTTAATTATGTAGCTGCTTATCGACTATTTTCCTAACAATATTTAATCAGGGATTTCTTCATTTTTAGTTTTAGGGTTTTTAGATTTTTCATTACAACCTGTTCTATTATGGTTCCATTCATCCTTATTTATATCCTTTCTTTCTTTTTTTGATGAAAGCATCGAAGCATATTGGTCATAAGCTCAATTGCTAAATCAATTTTTGTTCCATGTGTGTTTATTAGATTCCCCGTATATCGACACTTGATTTAAGATTGTGTATTTATATAAAACATCCAGCTCCTATGCTGTATTATTATTATTATTATTATTATTATTATTATTATTATTATTGTTATGCATATTGCATCATGTTGTTATTGGTTGGCAAACTAAAACATTTTGGTTCATTTGGTATATTTGTTAGACATTGTGAAACTTTTCCACTATGAAGTTGAAGTTCGTTTTAAATTCAAAACAACAATGGGAGTTGAAGCAACAAACAAGGAACTGGTTGGAGCTCCCATATGATGTAATGGCCAACATCCTATACAGAGTTGGTGTTCATGACATTCTTCTGAATGCCCAGAAAGTTTGCACTACTTGGCGTAATATCTGCAAGGACACTGCCATGTGGAGGGTCATTAATATGTACAATGTTTTTAATCATAAAAATGGAAGGCCCCTGATGCAGAAGATGTGTAAACATGCCGTAAATAGAAGCCAAGGCCAGTTGGTTGATATCACCATTGACGATTTTGCTAATCCTGAGCTTCTTCGATATATTTCTGATAGGTATGTGATTATCTTACTTGATTATTCACATTTCAGCTTAGTTCACATCTTTTTATAGTTACATTCTTGAAAAGAACCACTGCATGATCTTTGATTATATTTGTTTTTGTTCCTTTTAACAGATCAAGTCAGCTTAGAAGTCTTGAATTCGTATATTGTTATGGTGAAATTTATGAAAGCTGGGCCGGATCTTTGAGGAAATTTCCATTATTGGAGGAACTTAGTATCTACCTAACAGACATTTCAACAGGAGTTATTGTTGCTGCTGGTCGTTTTTGCCCAATGCTAACAACACTGAAAATAAATGATGAAATGGTAGCTCCTTGTGGTAATGTGATAGCTGTTGCTATTGGAGAAAACTTACCTAAGTTAAAGCACCTTGAACTCATTGGAAGCTTCATGACAAATATCGGGTTGCAAGCCATTCTGGATGGGTGTTGTCACCTTGAATTACTCGACTTGCGTCAGTGCGTGTACATTGATCCCGATGAAGATCTTGTGAAAAAATGTTTAGAAAAGATTAAATGTGTAAAACTTCCCTATGATTCCCTTGAAGGATGTCGATATGTTTTTGTTGATGAACCCATAGCCGGGTCTGCCATCGTTTAGGAGATGGTGAAATAACAGCGGTTTTGGATGAACTTGTGTATATATAATAATTATGTATGCTTGCTTGAAATAACAACGGTTTTGGATGAACATGTGTATATATAATAATTATGTATGCTTGCTTGAAGGACCATTTCGATAGTAGTGAAATGAATCATCACAAACATTTCGAGAGAGAATTGTTGAGCTGGAAGAAGATTTATTGATCTAAAAAATATACCCATAAGTATAAATGAAAATGACGTTGGTATTGATTTATATAAAATTGACAAAAAAAAAATCCGATATTGATAACTGAAGATAAAATTTAAAGAAACTTTTACTGAACATTGAAGAAATGATAACTGAAGATTAAATCGTTTAGGAATAATATTCTAGATTTTTGGATAGATGTTTGAAAATCTTATAAAATCTGTAGTATCAATGTGTGTATCTTTATATATTTACTTGACAAATTATCGTTGTTCGTGTATAATATTTAACTTATTAAAAAGTTATCTAATGTTATTGGATTGGATCCGACCGGATAAATTGGTTTATAAACCCGAAAATATGTTAAAAAGATTTTCTGGGGGTTGCGACGATGGACCAGGCTGGGTCGCTAGCAACACAGCCCAAACACTATCTCGTGCAGTTTCTATATATTTGCATCCGTACCGTATTCCACACGGTTGCCAACAGTTATCTGAAATCAGTGATACAATTTTTTTCTTCAAAACATGAGGTACGTTTATTTTAAAATACTTTAGTTTAAGTCGACGATTTCTTCATTCAATTCTAGGGTTTCTTGATTTTTCATTCTGATTCTTGATAATTCCCCTCATTCGTTATTCTTTATATCCCACTTCTTTGCATGAAGGCATTGAATTTTTATTCTCCAAAGTGGATATGGAGAACAAATGCTGATAAGAACGTGAATCCAATAACAGATAAATGAAACTAAAATATGAGATATATAGATCTAGGTAGCTATTTGATTACTAAATGGAAATAAGAACAAATCAGAAAGGAAATCCAAATGATTGTCTTCCTGCCCTAATCAGAGAAGTTCTCTCAAGAGAAACCTCCTGCCCAAGCAATTGATAAGAACGTGAATCCAATAACAGATAAATGAAACTAAAATATGAGATATATAGATCTAGGTAGCTATTTGATTACTAAATGGAAATAAGAACAAATCAGAAAGGAAATCCAAATGATTGTCCTCCTGCCCTAATCAGAGAAGTTCTCTCAAGAGAAACCTCCTGCCCAAGCTAAAGTCGATACTCAAAGCTACAAAATACTCAATACCTCACTACTCCTATCACTACTCTATTTATGTTATAGATATTACAATTAAGTCCCCCATGTTTACCCATATATTTATATAAGACCCATAGCACATTCTCTATCAATACCACCGTCTTGAAGAAGAGGCTTGTCCTCAAGCCGGGAGTTAGGAAATTGACTTTTTGTTTGAAAGGCACTTTTGCTTCTTTGATTGGACATTGTTGCCATGGAATCAGCCATTGCTTCCTTTGTTTTACCTTGCTGTCAACACAACTAGTTTCCTCTCTTTCATTGGATTCAATCAACACAACTTCTTTCATTGATGGCCGGCCAAAAGATGACAGCTTTCTGCATTTTATAGCAACCTTTAAGGTATAATAGATGAAAAGCTTGAGCATAGCTCGATATTCTTCCACTTCTTTCTTATATTTGCCAAAAGTTATAATCTTCTCTTTGGTGGTGTTCATGTCCCAGGATTCTTTGTCCTTAAGAAAAGAGACAAGCTCGATTTCATATGTACCAGTGGCATTAGGCGGCAATACTGCTAATTCTTGCTTGAAACCGATAAAACCAAAAGCATATTCTGGTGCAATACTCAGAAGAGCTACTTCACCTTTCTTCATCATCATCACAACTTCTTCAAGCCTATCAACTTCCTGCTCTTTATCTACCAACTTAAATTGAAAAACAACCCCTTCATTTGGGAGTTGGAATCCCGCCCCTTCTTCCAAGCTTTTCTGGAGGACTTTCTTGTCATCTGTAATATCTGTAGGGACCCTCCATGATATTATTTGTAGTGTAGCATTTGCAGGGATGGAACCTTCATTACCAGATGCGGTTTTTCCCTTCTCTCCAATTCCATATTTTAGTATGACTGTAGGGATGACCTTGTCCCCCTTCAATCTGGTGTTTAATTTCCGTTTAGCGATCTCTATCTTATCTTTATGGAAGAATTTCATAGCTTCTCGCAATAATAAGATCTTCTGATGGGTCCAACTGTTGGCTTCAAGGTCTCCATAAGCTTTGGTTGTATCATCCTTCATGAAAACAAGATTTGAATAACCAATAACACATGCCCATTTCTTCAAACAATCCAAATATAATAGTGTCTCAACCATTTTGAGGGATTTGCATCGATTTTCAAAGAGAATTCCATGAATTCTGTTGTTCAAACCAGAGTTTTCAATACTACTGGTAGCCAATTCTTGGTATATATCTAATGCTTTTATCTTACACGTGGGTTTATAAAATTGGATTAAGCGATCAATAGACCGTAGGGAGATTTCAGGTACAAGTAATTCGTCTTTTAAATTCACGGTGAGACAAGAGTCCTCATCGTGAAGATCATGGTGCTGTGTTTTGGTTTCCCACTCAGAATTCGAAGTCATAGATTTCAAGAAAGTTGAATAATTACATTTCAAATTTGAATCCTCGTCTTCCCCTTCTTGTTTAAACAGGCTCGTAGTAATGACATTACAAATAGGGATGACAATCAATTTTGGCGATTTGTAGGGTTTTAGTGGTAATTGAAGATACGCAGTATTGGGCAGGAGTGCTTCAGTGGTCTGTGAATTAGGCCCAATTGACTGCTCGGTCAAATCATGAGGGCCATAGTGCGAATTGAAATTGGAGCCAGAAGTATAGTTCGATACCTTACCATTCACGCTTGTACGTTCTCTCGGAGCGGTGATGGCGGTGGCAACATGTCGGGCGAGATCAATTGCTTTCTCACAGGTGGTCGGTCGGAGTAACCTAAGCCAGTTCTTTATGTCCGCTTGCAAACCATGAATAAATATTCCAAGTCGTTGTTCCTCTGATTGGTATGGAAGAAAAGCTGATAGGGCTTGGAATTTCTCTATGTATTCTTCTACATCCCCCTCCTGATTCAACGATCCTAAGTCATCGATCAGAGTGTAATCGTTGCTAATGGCTGGGCCCCTGAAGAATGAAGTCTCTGTCTCCATAGTTGGAGTAAAATGCTTGCATGTGGGTCGATGTAAGCCTTCCGTCATTTTTTCGAGTGATTTGGGTAGGTTATTAAGAGCCTCACACATCGATCTCACTGAAGAGGTAAGATCCCTTAACTGATCTGATAACGATTCAAGTTTCTTATCATGCGCATCCATCCTTGCTTCAAGTTGAGTAACAGTTTGAGACTCCGGTGTAACCATGGTTGATTCGATTTCCTGGCAATGGAACCAATTGATAAGAACGTGAATCCAATAACAGATAAATGAAACTAAAATATGAGATATATAGATCTAGGTAGCTATTTGATTACTAAATGGAAATAAGAACAAATCAGAAAGGAATCCAAATGATTGTCCTCCTACCCTAATCAGAGAAGTTCTCTCAAGAGAAACCTCCTGCCCAAGCAATTGATAAGAACGTGAATCCAATAACAGATAAATGAAACTAAAATATGAGATATATAGATCTAGGTAGCTATTTGATTACTAAATGTAAATAAGAACAAATCAGAAAGGAAATCCAAATGATTGTCCTCCTGCCCTAATCAGAGAAGTTCTCTCAAGAGAAACCTCCTGCCCAAGCTAAAGCCGATACTCAAAGCTACAAAATACTCAATACCTCACTACTCCTATCACTACTCTATTTATGTTATAGATATTACAATTAAGTCCCCCATGTTTACCCATATATTTATATAAGACCCATAGCACATTCTCTATCAAATGCTAACCGTTTGTATTTATAAAAACCCCCCTATATTGACAGTTGATTTACAGTTTTCAAACTAACTACTACATATTTTTATGCAAATTGCATGTTGTTGTTATAGATAAACTAATGCATTTAGGTTCATATGATATATTTGTTAGACATTATTTTCTCATTTCTAGAATGTTATTATAATTGCATATGTACATGCTAGTCAAAATGAAATCGACAAAAACCTGGGAATTTGAAGTTCTTTTTAAATTCAAGACAGCAATGGCAGGAGAAGGAACAGAAAAGGAATTGGATGGAGCTTCCTTATGATGTAATAGCCAATATTCTATACAGAGTTGGTGTTTATGACATACTTGAGAATGCTCAGAAAGTTTGCACTACGTGGCATAAAATCTGCAAGGACCCTGCAATGTGGAGGGTCATTAATATGGAGAATAATTTTAAAGATGTAAATAGAAATGGAAGGTCCCTGATGCAGGAGATGTGTAAGCATGCTGTTGATCGAAGCCAAGACCAATTAATTGATATCACCGTTTGTGATTTTGCCAACAAGGAGCTTCTTGAGTATATTGCTGATAGGTATGACTTGATTATTCATATTTTAGCTTTAGCATACTTGGGAATCAAATCAAAAGAACCACTGCATGATCTTGTTTTTGTTCTTTTTAACAGATCAAGTCAGCTTAGACGTCTTGAATTGGCATTTTGCTATGGTAAAGTTAATGAAAAGTGAGCCGAATCTTTGAAGAAATTTCCATTATTGGAGGAACTTAGTCTCTACGTAACATACATCTCACACAAAGTTATTGTTGCTGCAGGCCGTTTTTGCCCCATGCTAACAACACGGAAAATAAATTATGACCTGGTCTGGCATTGCGGTGATGGGATAGCTACTGCTATTGGAGAAAACTTACCCAAGTTAAAGCACCTTGAACTCAGTGGACACATCATGTCAAATAACAGGTTGCAAGCCATTCTGGATGGATGTCCGAAGCTTGAACTACTCGACTTGCGTTAGTGTTTGTGCATTAATCTCAATGGAGAATTTGTGAAAAAATCTTTAGAAAAGATTAAATGCCTAAAACTGCCTCACGAGTCTCTTCAAGGATGCCCATAAATGGAGATGATCACATAGCTGGATTGTCATGAGTTAGGAGATAATGATTACAATGACTTCACTAACATTGAGGACTTAATTTTAGGAGATTGCTGACTTTCATAGCCATTAATAGTGGTTGATTATTTTTTTTTCAAAGATGTTCCTCTTGCACTTGGGAATCATTTCCATTTTTTGGCTCAAACGTGGGTAAAGACTAAGATGTTATGTTGGTTTATTGATGCATTTGCTTGGAAAATTTTCTTGATCCTCGTCAAAAGTTTAAATTGGTTTGTTACAATAGACGATATTCACCAATTAAGGTGTTCTTTTTTCTGGATTTAGCCAAGGCAAATACTTGGTAAGGTATATATGATTCTTAATTTTTGATTTAATAAAGAAAAAACACATAATATAGGACGTCAAAGAAATTATACTTTCCTTGAGTTCTAATTGCTTGCATTTTAATGCCTATAAGTCCTTAATACTTGAGGAAGTTAATGAGTAATTAGTTTTGTTATTTCTTTCTATCTCGAATGTGTAACACCCGAGTCCTGGTATGCTTTTAATTCGAGTGTTTTTGTATTTTTCTCTGGGACTCGACGAGTTGGACGCCCAACTCGTCGAGTAGGGACGAGATCCGCGGACAGTTTAAGTGACCTACTCGACGAGTCGGGAGACTGACTCGGCGAGTAGGTGTTGTTTGAGTGAAACCCTAAATTTGAGGGTTTGCACCCTATTTAAACGTCTTATTGCAGCCTCCATCGTCCCTTATGCTCCCAGAACACCTCATATCGAAACCCTAGCCGTTTTTGTGTGATCTAAGGCCATTTTGGTGCATTTGGTGATTTGTGAAGCTTGAGAAGAAGAAAGAAGCTTGAGAGTTCAAGTTGGGGCTTGGAGATCCAGAGGTTTTGTTCCATTTTCATCTCAATCAAGGTAAAATGCCCCTGTCTTGGTCTTCTTTATGGCTATTCATCCTTAGGGCTTAGTTTTTGGGTGCATTTAGGGCTTTCCAAGCCATTTTCGGATTTGTGGAGTGTTTCATGGAGCCTTGACTTCAGATCTAAGTCATTGGAGGGGTCTCATGGCATAAAGGTGCCAACTTTATGCCCATGAGAGCCCTGTGCATCTTGTAGAACACTTTTTATGGATTTTTGAGCCAAAGCCCCCATGCATGAGCACCAAGTTTGGAGCTTTACGTATGAAATGGACATTAGGGAGCTAGATCTATGGTTTTGAGGTGTTAAGACCCATTTAAATCGACTGGATAGTAAAGGTTATGGATGGAATCGACGAGTCGTTCTTGGGACTCGGTGAGTCGGTGTGTTTTAACCACCAAATCCTTTCTGTGGATGGACCAGTTGTTAGGGAAGGAAGTCCCTTAGTTTTTTAGACGCAAAAGGGGGCCTGGGAATCATGGGACTCGGCGAGTGGATGAACAGACTCGGCGAGCCCAAGGCAATCTCCCAACCTTTGAAGATGGACTCGATGAGTTGTTCATACAACTCGGCGAGTCATAGACTGGATGTGTTCTTAAGAGGGAGATGAACTCGACGAGTTCATGGATGAACTCGGCGAGTCGGATGAAGATGGTCCCGATGGTTGGAATGAAGGAGAACTCGATGAGTTCTCGCAAGACTCGACGAGTGGTGTCGGGGTTGCATCGGGTTAGTGGAGCATGGACTCGACGAGTTGGTAGACCAACTCGGCAAGTCAGGTCAACTAGGAGTTGACTTTGACCAATGTTGACTTTTCCTGGTTTTGATATTGACCCTGGTTAGGGTTGTATGTTCTGTTTGATGACTTGAGGGTTGTCGTGTAGGGATTGAGGAGTCGAGGAGAGCCGACCTTCACGCCGAGAACAGTTCAGACACTACACGACATCGAGGTGAGTTACCTTCCAGTAGCGGTGGGTCTACGGCCACAATGCCGGCCCACCAGTAGGAACTGTATGTTAGATGATTGTCTTTGTGATATTATCTAGGTTTGCTACTACCTGTTATGTTTTGTGTGCTAGCATGATATGATGTTACGTGATGATGGTAGTAATAGGGGGGAGATAGTCCCCAAGTTACCGGCCGATAGGGCCGAAGGGGTAGTTTAGTACCCAGCTATGTTAGATTATGATTACGTGATTGTATGTGATAGACCGGTCGAGAGGACCGAAGGGGTAGGCCAACACCCAGAAATGCTAGGCGAGGTCACCGTCGAGAGGACCGAAGGGGTAGGCCAGCTGTAACATCCCAAATTTCGAGTCCAAAAATTTCTTTTAAAACATTACTAATTCATAGCGTTAAGTCATTCAAACATACAAAAAGGTTTATATGACAAATCATAGTTTCATTTCCAAAACACTTGTTCATTTCATCAGAGTAAAACATCCCAGGCTGACTAACTATGGTGTGTGCCATGCGATCATCCCGAGCTCTTCCCTCCGCTACCGGAAGTACCTGAAACCAAAACTGAAAACTGTAAGCACGAAGCTTAGTGAGTTCCCTAACCTACCACATACCCTGCATAATCACATACTGCAAATACTGGGCCACACCCGCTACTTCGGGCCTCGCCCACTATCTCGGGCCTCGCCCGCTACAACGGCCCCGCAGCTCCAGGCCCCGCCTGGCTTCGAGCCCCGCTCGGATATAGATCTGTTTCTCTTAGGCCCCGCCTGTCTCTGGGCACCGCCCGCTAACATATACTAACACATAAACATACCACAATACATAACTGAACATATACTACTGAATCCCGTTTTATGGCCTCGCCTATCTTGGGCCTCGCCCTTGTCCTGCTACTGATGAGTCGTGGAACCCCGTCCACACTCCTTCTGATAGTAAGATACGGGCCCAGCCCACACTCACTCTTTTCCTAACTTGGGCCTCGCCCCTGCTCTGCTGCTAATGAGATATGGAACACCGTCCATACTCTGCTATTGGTGAGATACGGGACCTTGCCCACACTCACCTCCCTACCAGGCACATACATGTATCACACAGACAACAAGTATACTCTATCATGCAAACCATTCCTTGGGCACCCACCCGACATTGGACCTTGGTCCTGAATATCATACTAGCAAACGGTACCTAGGGCTAACCCCCGGGTCTTCCTACTCATAACTACATGGGCCGGCATTATGGCCGTAGACCCATCCACACAAAGGGAAACTCACCTGCACTGTTGAACTTGCTGATAACCCTCTACTGCTGACTGGAAATTCCCCGACTGCTGCTTCCTCGGCTCCCCGAGCTACCAAGATCATAACATTACTTAGCTCAATATCATAGTCTTTTCTCAGGGTAAGATTACTATTTTACCCCTACCCCAATATAGTCCATAAGTAAGGCCCAAGCATAATATATAAAGGCCCAAACCCTAGGTAGGCTTCCCAAGCCCACTAATGGCCCAATTTGCTACATTGGGCCCAATATCTTTATTGGGCCTTACCCTAAGCCCAACACCCATACTTGGCCCATATTCCCTGACTCCTGATGGCCCACTAAGGCCCAAAGACCCAAAGTCCAAAGCACAGCCCACACCGAGGCCCAAATACTCAAGGCCCAAACTGGCAGCGTTACGCGGGGCGTAATTCAATGTACGCTGGGCGTACAGGCTCGATGACGTGTACGTTGGGCGTACCTGCACGTACACTCGACGTAATGCTCTGTTAAGTCCTTTCTCTATTAAGAGCTGAATACCTCGATTCAGAAGCTACCAACTCAGATCCAAGTCTTATTTCACGTCTTAAACCATAAAGTTGCTTACTTTATGGCTTCCTTGACTCACATAAGCCCCAAATCCAAAAACCATAATCTATTTCCATGGATGAAGGTCTTAACCCATGCTTGAACTCATATAAGTCCTAAAGGTTGGAACTTTACTGCTTATGGGACACATATGACTCTAAGGGAGGCAACCCTGGTCTTAGAAACATGCTTAAGTCTCAAAGACCCATTCTTGGGACCAAAAAGTCCATAAACTTGTACTAAGAGAGATCTAAGAGAATAATCATCAAGCTCAAAACTTTTTACCTTGTAGAGGTCCGAAATGAAGCACTTATCCCAGATCTATAAGCTCTAGCTTCCAAGGTTCCTCCTTGCTAATCTTCTTATTTTCTCTTCCAAGCTTTAAACCACCAAAATAAGCTTTTCAAGGTCAAGATCTCACAAAATGAAGGTTGGGACGTTCTAGGGTTTCTTCTGAGGTTGGGGAGGCTGATATGGAGGCTAGGGTTGAAGCCATTATGTTCTTTATATAGTGGCACTCCCAAAAATAGGGTTTAGAGGCTGTTAGCGTACGCTGGGCGTAATTCTCGTACGCTGGGCGTACGCCTTAAAAACCCGCGATCTTTTGCCCCGCTATGCTGGGCGTACCCAGCTAAACACGCGTGCACTTTGTGCATGCTAGGGACTGCCTTGTAAACTTTTCCATTAGGGGCCATAAATGTCAATATCTTCAAAGTGTCATAACTCCTTCATTCTAGATCCGTTTCCGATGAACTTTATATCCACGGAAAGGTGGCGAGAAGCTCTACGCGTCTAACAACAGTCCCTGGCCCAAAACCTTCTTGAATAATACCTCTAGGACTCTTAAAAGACTAGAACGCCCCTAGCCTTGGCCTCTGAAATTCTATAATTAAGTAATTTAGAACATGGCGTTACAACTCTCCCCCACTTAAACTAGACTTTGTCCTCGAAGTCCGCTACTGCCAACTATCCTGGAATTTGCTTACTGCATTCCTGTCCGATCATTCCAACTAAAGCTAGTCCTTGCAGGTAATACCATCGGGTGCACTCTAATCCCGTCGATTCTGAGAACGCAACTTACTCGTCTGACAATCCTCCGGTACTCCCCGAGTACTTATACTGGGCATCCTAGGGGTTCACCCCCTTTTCCATGCACGTTTTCTGACCTTCCCG